CAAAGAAATTGTTTAGAAAATAATAAAGCGTATCATCCAGTTCAAAGATTAACTTTATTTATTAAAATTGGTTAATTCTATCGAAAGTTTTGATTATTATTTTGAAATGTAGGTTCGATTTGTTTAAAGGCGCCATAAAACCTCAGAAATAGTAATAAAATGATTCCTTTTTATAAAAAAACGTTTTATTATAGTATATTTATACTTTAAACACAGTAAACAAAAAATATGTTTTCCTTAAATTAAAAAAGGATGTCTTCCACGAAGAACGTAATAGATGGCGTTGTACGTTAACGAGTCCATTCAAGCTGAAAGAGCCGTGTAATGTGTAAGCTAACAGCACAAACATCATCAAAAACAGATATCAGAAAAAAGATACGTACGCCCAAGCTAAACGTAGCAAAATTGCATCAAAAACAATATGTCATGATGTTGTTTTATACCAAGAATCCACATTATATCAAATAACTTTCCTTTCAGTTCTAAGCGTGTTCTGTTCCCACTTCCCATTCCCAGTCAGCGTGTGTTATGCGATGACCGATGACCGTAAATAAAGCGCAAGGTCAAACTTTACGCGTTGCAGGAGTAGACCTCAGTACTGACTGTTTTGCACATGGCCAACTCTATGTTGCTTTTTCCCGCGTTAGTAACTCCCGTAACATTTTTCTGTACGCCCCGGCTAAGTCTACTTCTAACGTCGTTTACACAGAAGTTCTATCACAAACGACTCAGAACTTTGAGCATAACGATTTATTTTGGTGCCACTTATTCATACAGTAATGATATAAATCTTTTAATATTCTCTTACCTAAACGTCAAATTCTTTAAGTAAAACCTATATACGCGAGCTACGCCGCGGGCACAGCTAGTAAGTAATATAATGATTAGTAGCTTTTTACCCGCGGCTTCGCTCGCGTGGTCTTCTTTTTTAGAAACATCATTAAATGTATTCCACGCCAAATTTAGTAAAGTTCGATCACTTTTAGAGTCAAGTCGGTGTCTGTGTATCTATGTCAGTTTTTCAAAGAATTTTATGAATTCCCAAAGACTATTGGACCTAGATGATTGAGGTACACGTGCAGAAATAAGTTTTTCATGCCAACCTGTCTGCCAAGCGTGACAACTATAGCAAATATCTAGCCTATTTGACAAGTTATGGGGGAGACCTATGTTCAGTTCAGTGGACTTTTGATAGGTTGTAATGATAACGGTGATGAGTTCTATTCTTTCGAATCTTTGCTATCGTTAATATTTACGGTAGTGTGAAAACAAAAACGTAACATCTCCGAAAATATAAATGATATAAAAGCAGCATAATTGCCCCATTAAAACTAAAAAAAGTAGCGACCTACATACATGTCACTACTGGGCACAGGCCACAGAGCTTTTGGCCAAAAAAAGTGCCAACGCTGGATCACCTCAGCTGGGGAACTTCTCAGATAATCAGGTTTTCTTTCACCGCCGAGAACGTGGTAAATCGACACTTCAAATTGCATTTAACATATATGTAAAAATATATAATAATGCTTGTGTACTATGAAATTTACCTTTGCGTTTGACAAGTTAAATAAAATATATCTTTGTTTAAGTAAAATCTGCAATCTTCGATATTTAAAGTATTTTTTCGCAACAGCCTGTTCATTTCCATATCTAATGTGAGCTATGAAACCACTACTGTCACAAAAATCTTGATTTGTCTGATAATATGAAAACTCAAAAATACAAAAATCCAACAAACTGATTTATAAGTCTCATTAAAGGTATAAAAACTAAAGTAGCAGCTTACATACGTCTCACTACTGTGCACACGGCACCCCCTTACCTATAGTGTTTGTGAGCAGAAAAGAGTATGCCGCAATCCTTCAACTATTACTCCGATATTTAGGTTTGCCCACGAAGTTTTTCTTCACCAATTCACTGGGTACCTATGTAGTAAGTCAGTACGTAAAATTTCCCATAACAGATTCATTTGTCCTCAAAGGACTCGTACACGTTTTGCTACCTTGGCGTGATGAAATCTCACGGCGAGCTACACGGCTCTCGTATTTGTTTAAATAAAATTCATAAAAACTGAAACAGCTTTTGTACCATTGTTGACCATATCTACCGAGTAATTAGAAACCCAACGATACCACGAACTATTCCATCAAATAGAGATAAAATCACACAGTGCACTTAATTTCCAATTATTTACTTCAGATAACGTGATAACATATGAAGTAGGTAAAATGAAACCTATGCCGACAGACAAACAATATATTGAACTAAAGAGCTTCTCTCCTAATCTCAGTTTTGTGTATAACAGTGTTGTTAGCCATTTTGCCAAACGTGGTTATTGTGGTAAATAATCCCGATAATGACCACCGGTCTAGATATTTTTAAGTGTGACAATTTTTGATGCTGCACGAATAAGAATTCGGTAGCATTCTAAAATTTAATTTTATCAGTTACTTATCATTAGTTTATTTAGAGAAAGTAAAGGGCACTATATTACATTAATACTATGAAAGTCAAAACTATACTATCTAGTAATATCGCCTATAGAAGAAAGAAGGCTCAAGAGCCACCCCAAAGCCGGGAACATTTATTTATTATATAAAAAAGGCAATAAGTGATGTTGATTCTGTTAAAAATCTGTTTCCGTTAAAAAAACACGCTATCAGCGCCGCTAGCTGTGATAAACTATTTGACGATATGAAGATATTGTCATGAAATAGCAATATTGTGTTAAGTTAGTGATATCGTTAAACGATCTCTATTCTTTGTTTGGCTAAGCTATATTATGACATGGTCAACAAACAGTGATAAATATCATGAAATGACACCATTTCACGAAATAATGATTTCATGAGAATTTTGCAATAATTGCAGGACGGATCAGTTTTAATCAGTTTACATACAGATATAGTATTAAACGTATGAAAATTGATATGTTTTTTTAGTTCAAAATAATATAAATGTTCATATTACGCAAATATTACGTTTGATAGATGATGTCATGATGTTTTTAGATAATAGATGTCAATTTTATCTATTATTTTTTAAATTTTAATTATTGCACTTTTAAAATGAAATAACGATTAAATTAAGACTTAGGATTTTAAAATAATTTTATTAATGTAATTATTTAAACATATAAATGTAAGTTATTTATATAATTTATTAGTTACTAAAGGCAAAATGTGTTTTGATAATTAAAATGTATATCGTCAGCGGAGTTTCAAATTGTTATGCAAAGGTTAAAACTAATTTAAACTAAATTTACAAATATAATATTTCTTTTAAAAACACCCGTCATCCCGCCTATTAACTAAAATAATCATATATAATAGAAAATTAACATCTAAAGGAAGAAAAATACTTAACCTTCTTTTTTAAGTTTCGTAATGGGATAAAAAGTAGCCTATAAGTTGCCCCGGGGTACTAACTACCTACGTATAAAATTTTATAGAAATTGGTCCAGTAGTTTTGGCGTGAATCGGTAATACACAGACTGACAGACAGACCGACAGACAGACAGACAGACAGACAAAAATTCTAAAAACCACTAATTTAGCTCCAGCACACTTTATTTAGTAATATGGACTTGTTTTTTCAAAAATATGTTACAATTACAGACACGGCTTTTCTACAGATTTATTAAATGTGTAGAATAGATGTAAAATGTTATTTTTAAGTTTTTTTTAATATTAGCTAATAAATAGTCCGGCAGACTGCACCATTACTTACACATTTACAGCCTTACTAATAAAGATTTACACACGACGTATACTAGAGTTATAACGCAAACATTACCAATAAACGACATTTGACAGTTCAGTTGTATACATCTGTTATAACGAGTGTTTAAATTGTATGGAAACTTACGCAACCGTTATACAGTCCTCAACCTTTGTTTAAGACGTGTATAACCTCAATTTGACGTGTGGAGTTTTTGAAAATAATGGATTATTTACAATATTTCGATATTTTTGATGAAATAGACCGTGAGGAACCACCAAGAAAAAGAAAATTTTACAAAAAACGTTTCGATCCCTTTACTCTAGAAGAAAAAGATTTTCGAATGAAATATAGATTCAGTAAAGTATATATGAGAAAAATAGTTAAGTTAGTTCAGCGTGATATCGAACTACAAGCTAGTGGTGGCGGGCTGTCTGTAGAACTTCAAGTTTGTACTGCTCTCAGAACGTGGGCTAGGCAAGAAGTGCAAGATGATGCAGCAGACATTCATGGGCTTAGCCAACAGTCCATCACGAATATATGTCGAAGAGTAGCTCTTGCTTTGGCAAGTAAAGCGGCACAATTTATACGCATGCCTAGTACTTTAGGAGAACAAGAACAAGTGGTTTCTGGATTTAGAAATATTTGTGGCTTTAAGCAAGTGATTGGTGCTATCGATTGCACGCACATAAAGATTAAAAAAGTTGGAGGCGATAGTGCTCAATATTATATAAACAGAAAGGGATTTTCATCCTTAAATGTCCAGGTAGTTTGTGATGCTCAATTAAAGATAAGGGATATAGTGGCACACTGGAGGGGCAGCACACATGATGCAAGAATATTCAGGGAAAGTCAAATTCGACAACGATTTGAAAATGGGGAATTTCATGGTCGTTTACTAGGAGATTCTGGCTACGGTTTAACAAATTACTTGTTTACACCAGTCCAGAATCCCCGTACTGCTAAAGAGAAATCTTATAATAAATCACATATTTTGACCAGAAATACAATTGAAAGGTGTTTCGGAGTTTGGAAACAGAGGTTCCGATGTCTATTACTTGGGTTTAGTGTGTCACTGGAAAATGTAAAATTATACATTGTTGCACTTGCGATATTACACAATATTGCCATTGAAATGAATGAAGGCATTGACTTCCTTGAACCAGTCATATCTGAAGATAATGGTGACCAACAAGTGCTAAGGGAAGGTCTTGATAGCCGATCTGGTCAAGAAACAAGGAGATTATTCATTGAAACACAATTTTAGTAACGAAAATGCTTTATTGTGGTAAATTTGTTTTTAAAAGTAATATTTCTAATTTTAGTTTTTCAACTCGAAGCTGTGTTTCTTCTTTTTCCAATAACATTTGTTGTATTTTTAAATTGTGTTCCTCTTTAATAAAATTATGAGCTTCTAACATATTTTTCATTTTTAAACCATGTTCCTCCTTTATGCAACTGACAAGAATATGATTGCGCTCTCTGGTTAAGTCTCTTTCCTGAAATAAATATATTATTATCAATCACAAATTACTAATCCCATTATTTTGTTATACTTGGTAGAGCCATGCTGTAGCTATATTAGTAGTATAGTTGTAGCACGAATGGGTCGACTCGACCGGGGAAGGACCACGCTCTTGCAGAATACCATCATAAAATAGTGGCTTAACGCTGCTGTGTTTCGTATGGTGAGTGTAGAGAACCACAGACCCTTTTTACTGGAAATGAGGCATTCCATCTTAGTCCCGGGTGACAATGCATCTGCATTTTGATTTGTAATAGAGGATAGATGTAGATGTCTATGGGCCACAGCAACCACTTACCATCAGGTGGACCGTGTGCTCGTTTGTCACCCTATCCTATAAAAAAACTTAAATTAAACATTTTATTAAAATAAAATATAATTTTATTTTACCTCACGTTTGGCTGTATATTTATTATCATTCACATCATTGAATGTTAGTTTCCGTTTTCTTCTAACTATTTCAGTTGGCATCTTTAAAGGTAGTGGTGTAATATTCTGAAATATTAACAAGTCATTCAGAATTCAAAAGATATTAATCTAGGTAAATTTACTCAACAAATTTAAATAAACAAACCTCTTGCACATTCTCATTATTATCTCCTGGAGTGATAAAATAATCTTGTGTTGGTGTATTCACCAAGGACTGCTCCTGACTTTGAACAACTGGATTCTGAAATAGAATATCACACATTGATATCATAATCATAAGACATAACATACTAATTCTGATACTAAACATTGTGTTAGTGCTAAGACAATTATAAAAATATAGTATGAGCTCACTGTTATGCTGTCACTGTCGAAGACATTGAAATCAGTCTCAAATTCCTGTGGAATCATGCTCAAAATGTCAATGGTTTCCGGGTCAGGGCTAAGAGGTTTTGGTCCTCCACCAGTACATTTGATAGATGTCTTTACTTGCGACATGTTTTTCTTTGCATCAAGTTTCATAGTGCGCCACTGTTGCTTCACTTCAGCTAATTCTCTTACCCGGCTATTCAATTCACTAAAACTGAAAATGTCTCAATCATAATTTGCACACAAGAAACGTGAAACAAAATTCATAAACATGGTATTTTACAAACCTTTTCATCACTTTTTGCCAAGCAATGGTCTTACTTTTGTTTGTATTTGTATCGGTGTTTTTATTTTCTATGATGGATACAAATTCCTTCATACAACTTTTTAATAAACTCTGAAAGATAATATACAAAGTTTGATTACAAATTGTGACCATATTGGGAAACAGGAGTTGCAAATATATTTCTAGTAAAATTCAATCTTACCTTTTCTAATGCATCCCAATTGGCAGACCGTTTTCTTTTGATAAAGTTTCCATTACTATTAGCCATTATTACACAATTACAGCGATGTTACTAAAAATATAGTAGCTTCTAACGAATTATAAATTACAAAATACAAACAACAAATTGATGATTGAAATTGAATTGCAAACTGTCTGAATCTGAAAGGTACGCCGTACGTTCATAAACTTATTAGGATTATAAATATGGCTTTGTCCAAATAATAATTAGTTTTTATCGCATATAAACATTAGATTATTACTAAATTAAATTTAACAATATTTTGGGCTAAATGTATGTGTTAATAATTAAAAAAAGAGAATTTATAAGCTGTTTATGTGTATTCAATATGTTTCTATAACCTGACAATTTAGTTTCAAAACGTTTTTGATGAACGTTGCCAATGGTTTTTGTTTTAGTGAGTGTATAACTATACAACGCTTATACATCTGTTATTAGTAAAGAGCGTGTGTAACTCTTACCCATAGCTTAAACAGTGTATAAGTACACAGTTGTTAAACAGATGTTTTAAATATTTTTATTAGTAAGACTGTTACTGCGTAAGTGCTTACTACAGCAGAGTCTACAAGTATATCGTTGTCACCTGTGATTCCTAACATTGAATTCTCATAGCCTGGAAGAAAATGGCCTCTGGGCCTATATCCACTAACTTTCTGCATCTCTTACCAGGTCTTCACTCCATCTGATAGGAATTAGACTTTATGGACTGCAAAATGTGGAGAATATAGAAATTTGGACTAAAAAAGTAGAATTTATTACTACTTTCAAGCTTTTAAGTTTTTAATATTATAATATTTTTATTTAATTTTATATATATATATATATATATATATATATATATATATATGTTCGCGCCAAACGCTGTTTTCGGAATCGACGTGCGCGCGGCTTGGTGCCATACCGGTTTGACTTTCGGTCGTGCGTAGAACGCGCAAGCGCAGCAGTCGTCTGCCAGCTGTGCTAACACCAGCACGCTGTCAATTTTGTTCGGGAACTCGGAATAATTAGGCGCGGCTAGTAAATGTACTGTCCAGGATTTGTGACGCGTATTCCTTGCTGTAGAGCTTCCCCGGGACTCATTGGTTTGACTCGGAATCTGTATAGGTGCATTCGACAATATTATCTAGTGCGGCCTTTGATATTCTAGAAATAACTGTTGCTACGCGAAGCGGTAGTGACCTTTGATCCAGACACTCCTTGTTCGTTTGTGTGTTAAGCTTTATAACAACCGAGTGTTGGTGGCTTCTGTAAGTTAGTTAATAGTACGATAGAGTTAATGGACTGTCATCGTGACGAACGAAGAAAGTGACTGTGGACGGCGCCGCGGACGATTACCTCAATTGGGAGCGGTGCTGACGCATGGGCTGCTGCCGACGGCCAAGGTCTACTAAGGTCAATCACCATCAGTCACACCTAGATACACATCACAGCACCTTATTTCCCTTGCACTACACAACCACATGCGACCTGACCGACTCCGGAGGGACCAGTCGCCTTGGATATAGGTAAGTAAGCTCCGTCTAATATTCTCCCTGTTGAATGGCCGTACCACAGAACGCTCCCCCTTATTGTTTAGTGTAACTAGAGATTTTCAACTTTGGCCTTAGGAGGCCCGACCTACGTCTGCTCGTCGAAACTCAGCTGAATGGGCCCCTGAGGATTTGACCTTTATGGGAGCAGCCGTAGGCCGTAACAAACTGGTAGCAGAGCGTGGTTCCGGGTTCGATTCCCCGGTCGATCCCGACCAGTGTTTGATAAAAATTAAACAATTCTGGTGGCAGGGAGCGTTGGTTTGATTGGTTTAATTTGTATCTACAATCACGCCCGTCCGTAATACGGAAAAATATTTTTTTTGTACGTAATAATAAAATTATTTTCCTTTGTTGCTTGCTTATTTGGTTAGCGGGTAGATTTGAAAGCCGCGCCCTTTTTGTGCGCAAGCGGGAGTTTTTCTAGAGGTATACGTCATGTAAGTAGATGGATATTATCACGTAATCGGTTAATTATCGTTGTCGGATAGTTGTAGTGGATTGCTTATCGAAGGGTCGATTTCAGAGCTAGGCATTTTATGTTGATCGGCCGTGAGGTGTATCTTCGTTTGTATTGTAATTTGTATTTGAACTAAAGAGTAGTAATTGTATTTGCACAATTTGAATTTAACTTGATTTGATCGCACTAGTGTTTGTTATTTGTTGATTTGATTTGTGTCTTTTCTTTTGTGCTAACTTGTATTTGGTTGATACGTAGTAATTCGAATTTCTGTAGGAGAGATACGAAGTATCAGCCGGAGAGGACACCTGCATCTCGGTCAGAAAGAGCAAGGCCGGCTTCGCCGTCTCGAGATGGTAGTGGACGGCGTTTAGGTTCGAGTGAAGTCCCCTGATGTTGCATAAATTCACGTATAGCGTGGCAGGGGTCGCCATGGTATTGTTGCTCAGTTTGCCCCGAGCAGTTATGTTTTTGAGCGGAATTTTGTCCCCCCCCCCCCCCCCCCAAGAATACGCGGGGCAGCCTGAGCACCCACGCTCAGGAGTGGAATAACATGGTCGTGGATGCTCAGCGAGGGATTCTCCAAGGGTGCTGGTACCCTCCTGGGGTAGTTTTTGGTATAATTCCGCTACCATGTCGAAGGGGGGGGGGGGGCACGGCAAACAGTAACATAACTCCAAGCAACCACCAATGTCACGTAATCCAGGCTCACCTTCAAAGGAGTGAGCTTGCCACGGCCGAACTAATTATAGAGGCGACCAAAAACAAGACATCTTTGGCCACCTGCACTCACCAGACAAAACGTAGAAGCAGAGCTTCTACTTCATGCCGGTATTCTGTGAGGTCGTGGTACCAACCCGGCTCGAGCCGGCCCATACGTGCAACAGCAAAAACTGCCGCGTGGCTCTAGCACCGTTAAATTTTTGTTGTTACTGCTTAAAAACACTGTCCCTTTTTTGTATTGTTTGTTTCATTTTAACTTCTAATTGTATATCATCATCATCATCATCATCATCATCATTACAGCCCTTCACAAGTCCACTGCTGAACATAGGCCTCCCCCAAAGATACCACTTCTGAATGTAAAATAAACTGTTACTTTATATGCTTCAATACATTTAATCACTCGAAGAGTAGATTGAGAAAGGGGACGGAAAGTACGGACCAAACTTTTCTTCTTCTTTTCAGAAAATTTCCGTGCATTAGGCTTGGAAAAGACCTATGAAAAAGTGACCAGAGCTTTATGGCGAACGCTAGCCTCGCTAGAGCGCTGGGCTGATATCAGCATTAAAATCTCTTTAGGATTCTATTGACACAAGGTCAGTATCAAAGGAGCCTACACGGACTGGTTGAGTATCCATAAAGTTATCTCAGGGCTGTGTAGCTTAGTATCTGTCCAATGTGTTTAAGAATACGGAATTTAGCCGTTAAATTATTTTAGAACGCCGACGATCTAGTCATATTTGCGTCGCCGATGGTCAAGTTTCAAATGATGGTTATTAATGAACCTATCTTTAAAAGAAAGGGAAATAAAGTGAACGTAAGTAAGACAAAAGTTATGGCTGTTGAAAGAAGAAAATAGACCGCCATATGAAATTAAAGTAGAGGGGTAGTTGATTGAGCAAGTTTTGAGTTTGTGTATTTAGGATGCTTGTTTAGTATGGATGGTAGGCAACATAACTTATACTTAGGACGAATAGTGAATGCAAGACTCAGACAAATGTGGCTTTTTACTGTTGTGGGAAGTTAGAATATGTCAACAAACTCAAGGTATGTATGGCAATTTACAATGCTGTAAGGAGTTAGTCCGTAACCTTAGTGAAAGTTAGGTGTGGCAGAAGAATGTCAGTAAAATGAAAGCTGTAGAAATGCGGTCTTTGTTAGGGGAGAGTGTGAATGATAGGATAAGAAATTGCGTGATTAGAAACGTGTTGTTTGCAAGATGTTGTGACCAGGATTATGAAAGGGATGCTTCATTTACAAAAAAAAAATGCAAATTTACGCCGCAGAAGTGAGTGGCAGAGTTGGCAAAGGGCATCCCTTTCAGAACCTAGACGGAAGTTTATCGACTAAACTGGTGATATACTTAAGATGGGTCAAGCTAAGAGCACCCTTAACCAAACATGATGCTTAAATATGAAAGAAGCGAGAGGTGTGTCAGGATCAGGAATGAAAGTCCGTATCTAATCTCTGCCTACTCCTCTGAGTGACAGGCGTGAGAATTTGTTATTTTCAACCGACTGCAAAAAGGAGGTTTACTATTCTGAGAATCTTTTTTTTATGTATGTTCACCGATTACTCGAAGATGCCAGACGTTTTAAAGGGTATACTTCACAAGTGGTCCCATTTAAATTTTATCGAAATTGGTAGAACGGTTTAAAAAATCAACAATAAATAACAATATTTAATTTTACATAATACTTAATTTTATCTACAATATTAAAAACTACGATAATAAAAAAGAAAAACTAAAACTAGAAACTTAATTATCATATAGTCCTACTCCCCGCGGTATCGTGCCAAGAACGCTGGCTGCGTTTCCCCGCTGAATGGCTATACTTAGCCTTTGAGCGAGGAAAGAACCAGCCCTCTTATCACCAGCAGCAACGACCAGCCGCGGATGGAGTTCCTTTAGGAACTTCACCGCACGTGGACCCCACGGACCGATAGTCTCTACAGCAAATGGCACAAATATGTAGTCATCTCTCAGAGACTCATATTTGCGCCACTTACTCAGTTCAGCTGCCTCTGATGCCGCCCCGGCTCTAAACGAGGTACCCCTGAGATGAGAGGCCGCCAGAGTGTCTACGCAAGTAGCATCCCACACTAGGGCTTTACCTCTCTCCCAAGGGACCAATGTCATACCGTCGGGTCTCTTGCCATCGTCTCTAAATATTCCACAAGGCTCTAAAACCGAGGGAACATTTATAGAGGCAAGAGCCCTTCGGATGACATCGTTCAAAGAACTGTGTCGTGAAAACCTACCAGCGCTTTTCTTACATGAAAGTCCGTGGAGCCCAAACTTGTCGACGCTGTTA